CTCTGTATTTCCTTAAATTATTGGTCTGTCTCTATCTTTCAAAATCCGCTTCATTTCTGCGATGCTCCATCCTTGCCTCTCTTACCATAAATTTTGTTAACCTACTTAAGATGTGCCTTTCAATTGTTTGATCAACTTATGTAATGCAGGAAAGTACCTAATCTTCCAGTGAATTAATTTAATGGGTATGGAGTCTTTTCAATTAGCTATGGAGTACAGCAACTGGTAAGGGTCTGCTGGCAATGCATCAAAAGTAGCGTTTATTAAATAGTAGGCTGCGTGTTTTTCAGTTACTAGGACGGATAAATGCCCCTTGCTCGCATCAGGCCTGTGGGTGAATCGGTGCAGCTCAAAGCTCTGGAACAACGGAGGCCATGCACTAAAAGGGGTATTGCTAGTGGACAGGCTCTACTTGACTTGGAACAAGCTGTTCGGTTCGTCGTATAGGTCCCTTACTTCATTGTTTCAGCTCTTCTTCAAAATGTCCCTTCTAAGCTACTGAACTCGCTTCCAAAGCTGTAGCAATTTCTGGGCAGCACTTCTCAAGACTGATGTAATTTGTATAAGGCTACGTAAGGATTTTCACTGCGATTATTCAACTTTCATTTTAGCAACTACATGATATCGCTTTGATGTCTTGCTGTTGCATTGTATGTATGAATTTGGTCGCAGCACAAGTCATGCTATGTTTATCTATTGCCTTTTTTTCATTTTTTTCATTGGTCTTCTGTCATACACTTATAAGTTCCGATTGACAGTGCAGTTTTGCTTCCTTTGGAAAATCAACTGTTATTATCGGGATCGGCTAAAGGTTGCCATTTTAATTGGGAGTCTTATTTTAATCCAGTTTATCGTAATGATCTAAATGGTAGGCCTGTACATAAACAGTGTCTTCTCTACCAAGTCATTGTGAATGAATATAGTGGTGTCATGTGTGCTCTCTTGAAAGGCAAAATTCAGGTTTAACTTGAAATAACATTTCCCAACGCAACTTTGTCTACTCTCTGTGGTTGTGTGTCATGTTTGACAAGAAACATTGTTGAAGTTGCGAAATAGTTGTCTATGATGCAGGGATGAGACTTCTTGACTTAATGATGGTACTTTGTTGCGTCTTTCGCACTATCGCTGTCTACACTTTGCTCTACGCACACCTTTACTTTGCATCATTCCCCTTTTTTTTGCACAGTTAAGAAAGGCTTACCACACACGCGTCTCACCAAGGTGTCTAACCGCCTTTATCAACTCGGCCAATCTTGAATCCAAAATTGAGGGCTGATGCTTTCCCGAAGAGGACCGTTTCTCTACCCGAAGACAATATGGGTGCTTACCACAATTGTGGCAGCATTCTTGTGTGGCAGAAAAGACGTACAACGTGCAAATATTTTTGATAAACATCTCTTCTTTTTGATATTTAGGTATGTTTGAATTTGTTTTGTTTTATGTTGGTTTTTAAACCTATGAAGGCGTAAAGGTACAGGCCAGTCAGTGTGGCTTTGCAGTGTAAGGTAGAATTAAGCATACTGTGGGGCGAAAGCGTCTTACTCAGGGTGATGGAATTACCATTCTTCCTCAAAGAAGACTACTTTTAAATATCTGCGTAGGCTCCCGACAGAGCACAATACCTTCTCAACAAGTTCCGTTTGTTAAGTGTTTGTGTCTTTCTGTAAAATGACATGTTTCTGTGTTGCTAATTTTTTGCATATCTAAAGCAGACTGGATTTCTTTGTTAAAACGCCTCCATTGTTGGCCCTTTTCAGCTCTTTTAAAGGAAATCGCCCTATCAATGAACGATCTGCAGGCGCATTACAATGACTCCTTCGCCCACTTCGAGGGTACGGGTGACCTCGTGGCAGGAGAACAATGTCTCCGAGAGGCCACGACACTTGACGATCTGGCTGATCGCACTGACACATTTGTCTTTCACCACCTGGCCCTGCTGAAGGCTAAGCAACTAACACAAACCCAAAGGAGTCTTTTTGATTGCCATGGATTGGTATATTGAATGTGTCCTTTCTCTCTTGATGGAGGTGTACCATTTACAAAATCTACGCTACTTGTAAGTTTATCAGTAGCGACGTCGGGAGCTTATTCCGGAACAGTCTTTCGTAACTCGTGGAAACCGAAAAGCTATTGTTGTAACTGTTTGAGCTTAAGCTGTCGCAAGCAACAACATTCCTTCAATGGTTTGTTCAACAATCAGTCTAAGAGAAATATACATGGATTGGTCCCTATTCCCATGTCATTTCTTGATTCGTTAATCTGGTGTATGGTGACGGCGATTTCGCGACTCACTGTTGTATGTAATCAGGAAGATCACGTAGAACTTTTCAATGGGCTCTTTACAGTTATTCAACTTATGCACTTTTATCTGTAGTGATCACAGGATTTTAGAGTGCATGCTCAAGTTCCACTTCAATTAGCTTTTCTACCGATGTAATATATAAACACAGAGGGATTCTTCATTCGCTCCGATTTTACCCGTCGTTTTAAGCGAATGTCGGGAAAGGCTCCCAAATTTGCTGATTCTTTCACATAAGCTCATTCATTTCAGTAGTCTTTTCACTAACTAAATCTGCTTTAAGAGGAGGAAAACTTTCCTCGAGCAAAAATACTAATCTTTACAACGAGAAAAAAAAATAATTGCGGGAAGAACCAGACGTTCGGGGGTATCAAACGAAATATTATGTGTTTGAACCAGAGAGATTTAACAAACTGAACTGCCCTGTTTCCTCACCGACCCAGGTGGTGCCAAATTCGCAGTTTGTCAAGTGCGTGGTGCGCACTGCAGCCTCCATGGGGTATCCGGATAAAGTGAAACGAAAGGAACGTCAATTGAGGAAACAACTACGTACAAAAGGCAGCTTTGTGCAAAGAGCCAGGAAGAAAAATCACGTTGACAGCTTGGAAACTTGATGGAGCAGGCAGAAAGGCACAATGGGTTGTTGGAAAGCCGAAATAGAGATAACCCCATTTTGATGAGCAAATGAGCTGCTTTCCTCTCCACTCATAATTACTTGGAATAAAGTGACTTTAGAATCACTACCGTTGATCTCTTGTTTACCAAATCACTCATCCTCGTCCTCAGATCCTGGCAACAAGTTCTCAAAGTCGATGCAGTACTGGACGAAAAGATACAGGAACTGCAAGTGGTCCTGCAATAGTAATAAGGGCTGCTTTTAGTCACGCTTGACCTGTCTTACAAACGACCACAAATTGCTTAACTCGCTTACACTTTGTGCAAATATGAGACGAATGACATTCCATTCATGCCTCCAATAAGGCAGGGCACTTACCTTTGAGGTGATGATACCAGGCCGAAATTTACTCAGTGCCAAAACAGTTCCAAAAACATCCACCTTCTGCGAGTTGCTTCGTAAGCGGCTGAGTAGCACTGCAGCACAAACAAGGGTGCCTGCTCTGCCGTCGTCAGGCCTAAAATACCCCCGATCAACAGTAAAGTGGAGTCAGTTTAATCGGAGCAAACCAACATTTCATATAAAGTCGTCGTCAGACTTGGCAACCATTTCGAAGCGAGTGTACAAGCGATCTCCCTAGCCAATAGAAATGTGGCTGGCTAATGACACCGATACTCGCTCGCCAACTACTCTGCTCAACGTCCCCTCCGTTGAGTTAATGCAAATTATTCCCGAAAGCCATTCATCTTACCTCATTCTTAAACATTCAGTGGCATAAGACATCACGGTGATTTCATGAACAGACTTTAAGTTTGTCGAGTTAGACCGCATCACCAATTGGCTCGCACCTGGAGTGGACTGTCGGTGGACCGTAATCGCTACCAACGGCAAAGTTGTCGAGGTACTTCAAGCATTTAACGACGAAGTTATAGAAAATATCCACCCGAGGAACTCCATGACGTGGCCAACCGGTGAAGTGGAGCTGGATGAGTGGCCAAGGCTAGTTACAAAATGAATGAGAGGAAGAGCTTTGCTTTGTCATTTATAACCTCATCTGCAATAGTGGAAATGAGAATCGCAAAATTGAATCAGAAGAGATCATTACGCTGATCTACGTTGGAATTGTCTGAATGGATAAACTTAAGGAAAGTGGAGGTAAAAGTGTCCCTGAAATTTGGCATTAGTTTGCTTTCTGTCTAAATCTTAGTCTTCCTTGAAAACGAAAGTAGTTCTGGAACATTTCTGATTCTTTTT